CCGGACGGAGATTCTAAACACCTTCCATCGCCCGTCGACGATCGCCCTCCACGGGACCCCTCCGAACTGACTACCCTCGCCCACGACCCGACCTACCCTCGCCCACGACCGAACCGAATCCCTCCTATCCACCAGCTCCGAAGCCCGGCGACCCCTATTAAATCCAAAGAGGGGGGCGCAAGAAATTGGCGTCGGATCAGCGACTTTAAATTCTGGGGAAACCCGGAGCGGTTCGAAAAGGCTACTACTCCACTGGCAGAGCTCCGCCGGCCGCGCAGACTCGGGTGGGTCAAGGCGACCTCTTATAGGCTTCTCGACTCGTGCGCCGCGCGGCCGTGTCAGCAGGAGCGCGTCCGCTTGGCATCGCACGGGGTTTCCGTCATTTGTCGCTTGGCGCCGTCTTGGCTCCACGCCGGCTCGACGCCGATGATGGCCTTTTCCCAGCGGCGCCGCGCGGACTCGACGTCGTCGCGCAGGCCGTGATCCCAACGCGCTTTGATCTGCACGTCGCCCGCGTCGACGCACCTGCGTGGCCGCATCGCGCGCGCCGCGAACGCGCGGCGACCAAGGGACGCCGCGGGCCCACGCGCGGCACGCGGCTGCGAGGCTCTCGGCGTGCTCGCGCGCGTCGTGCGCCGCGCCGCGCCACCGCTCCGCGAGCGCGAGCGCCCGCTGCAGCTCGTCGCCGTGCGCCTCGGCCACGGACCAGCCGGGCGAGGGCCCTTCGGCAGCGGCGCGCGACGACACCTCCACCGGCGTCGAAACCTCCACCGACATCTCGACCTCCGCCGACATCTCGACCTCCGGCGCCTTGGCGTCTGCCGGCGCGTCGGCGGCGGCGGCGACGGCCTCTTCGACGCCCATCTCGTCGAAGTTTCGCACCAGCTTCTCCTCGTTGGCCACGTTCTCCTTGTCACCGACGGCCTCCGAGGGGCCAGACTTCGCCTGGCGCGTCCGGATCTGTGCGAGGCGCTCGAACTCGGCCTTGGCCAGCGCGCGCGCGCTCGCGACCGCCTACCGTGCATTCGTCGGTCGTCGACAAGCGCGCGGCGCGGGGACCGACCGAAGACGACTCCTTGCGGAGCTCGACGAGCGGCGCGCTGCTCTGCGGCGGCTTGCTGCTCTGCGGCGGCTTTTGCGGCGCGACGGACGCGCGGCGGACGCGCTTGGTGCCGAGCACGGGGCCCTCAAACGACGCGGAGACGGACGCCCGGCGGCGGCTCTGCTGCGCGAACGCGGACGGCGGCCGCGGCGGCGCGTCGTTGCGCGTCGCGTCGCCGCGCGGCGCGGTCGGCGGCGACGGCGCGCTGTCGGTCGGCGCAGCCCCCTTGAGCTGCTTGGCGCGGTGCGCGTACTTGAGCGTGTTGAGCGTGTCGTCGACGGAGGCCATGGACGGCGCGAGGCAGGCGAGGACGACGAGCTTGACGGCGTCGGACTCGAGCGACGTCTTGAGGAGGAGCGTGAGCTTCGAGTCGCGGAACTTGGGCTTGGGCGCCGCCGCGTCCGTGAGCGCGTTGATGCAATTTGCCAAAGCGAGCAGCGACTTGTTGATGTGCGCGCCCTCTTGGAGGCGCAGGCCGCGGTTGCCTGTGGCCGACGCGCGCTCCGACCCCGCCAGGTCGACGAGCGAGACGCGCGACGTGGCGCCGTCGCGGCGCCGCACGGAGATCTGGAGCAGCGCGTGGGACCGCGACGACTGCGCGTTGGCGCCTGTGGCCTCGGTCGTGCGCCGCGCGTTGCCGCGGAGCAGCAGCGCCAGCACGCCCGCCGCGTCGCCGACGCGGCACTCGGCGAGGTCGAGGACCTTGACGACGCCGTTCTTCTCGTCCTCGCAGACGCGCAGCGCCTTGCCCGGCGCGCGGTCGTCGGCGCGCGCGGCGAGGAGGTCGTAGACGCGCTCGTTGTACAACTCGAGGTACGAGACGCGCACCTCCTCGCCGCCCAAGAGCCGGTCGAAGAGCGCGGCGGCGACTCGCGGGATGATGCCCCGCGCCGCCTCGGCGCCGCCGCCCATCATCGTGTGCGTCTTGCCCGCACCCGTGGCGCCGTATGCGACGACGCTCAGGCACGTCAGATCGCCCGAGACGACGCGCGCGATCTCCGCCGCCGTCGTGCGCTCGAAGACGTCGCGCTGCGACGCCTCGGGGCCGAAGGACGCGTCGAACGGGAACCGCGTCGCCGTCGCCTGCTGCGACCGCAGGTACGCGCCGCCCTTGCGCTCGTCGCGCCGCGCCTAGCGCCCGCTCGGAATTGGCGCAAGTGTCGTGGGGGCGCGCTGCGCCAGCACACTCTGCCGCACGCCTCGAAAGGGAGCCGGGCCGGGCACCGACCTCGAGCGAGCTGCCATCGTCGAGCGCCTCGGCGCAAATCGGAAACTCCTTGTCCGCCGCGCTCTGCGGCCGCACGCGCACCGCCACGAACACGCGGTCCTGCGACGTCGAAGGGGCGCTCATCGTCGCTGCCTCCGCCCCGCGCCCGCGCGTGGCCGAGTCGCAAGAAGCCAAAAATAATTGCCAACGTTGGATGCCGTTGGGGGGTCGTTGGACTTTCGGCGAAGCCGGTTGATGTTTTAAAAAAAGGTCGTCGCAGTCGTCGCGGGTAAGGGAGGATCGTTCCTCGAGCAAAGCGGCAAAAGTAAAAAGACTGGTATTCACTGAAAAAATTGCAAAATGAGTGCAAAGGACGTAAAAAAGGTCTCACCGAGATTCGAACTCAGGCTGGTGGAATCAGAACCCACAGTCCTAACCAACTAGACTATGAGACCGTACACCTGTGAAGAGTGGAGTACCTGGATTGAACAGGTGACCATTCGAACTGCAATCGACCGCTCTGCTCTACCACTGGGCTAACCAAATACTATGTTACTCCCTGCCGGGCTCGAACCGGCGACCTTGGGTTTATTAGACCCACGCTCTGACCAACTGAGCTGATGGAGCCGAATCGGCTCAGGGAGCCGTTACGACACCCAACAGACACACTCATTATTGGATTAAGTTCGATCGCTGAAGACGCCCATGAGCTTGTAAAAAAATACTCCCTGCCGGGCTCGAACCGGCGACCTTGGGTTTATTAGACCCACGCTCTAACCAGCTGAGCTAAGGGAGCTGCTCCTTCTGTTCAAACTAACACGATGTTGACATAAATCTTGGCGCCGTTATTATTATTATGAATCTTGGTCCTGTCTAGGAATTCCTATGTCTGAATCAGTCTGATGGATAATGCTGGTCCAACAAGCTCGATTCGGGTCGTCGGCACGGGTCGTCCCATCAAGTTGGGTTGCTCTATACTTATGTCTAGAGCGACGATATATGCGACTTCGGGAGAAGAAAATCGGATTGACCCTCCTTCTATTACAAGAGCGCGCCGGAGGCACACGGAGGACCCGAAGGATACAGCCAAATCCCATTGCAGTGCCCACGTAAATAATTAAAATTATTTGAAATAATCGCTGAATTTTGCGGCCGATCAGGTTTGAACCTGTGACCACCTTCTTCTTCTATTATGATTCCAATGATTCCCAAATTTAGCGATCACATTCCCACCAATCGCCGAGTTGCTGCCCTTTCCTCCCCAAAGGTGGAACCTCGCGGATTTAACCGTGGACGGACAGACGGACGGACAGACAGACGGACAGACAAAATTGCCCCTGGTAGATCTAATCCTTCAATCAAAGGACCCGAAGGGCCCTTGCCGTAAACTGACGTTGATTAAACGGCAAGGACCCTTCGGCTTGGAATCTCAACCGCCTTCAAAGGAGCCCATAATCGACCACGGTCCGGACGATTTTGACCTTTCTGTGGCTGAACCCTCACGACTGAACAACACACACAGCCCAAAGCTTCGCCTCTTCCTAGAGCCTACTATAGAGGCCCAACGGGGGTCTGTTAGCGCGCCAGGGCCCCTTGCCCGGTAGCCCAGGGTCGAATATGGACGTGGATGAGGATGCGAGAAAGCCGTCGTACCTGCCCGACCAGCTGGACGCCGCCCTCTCGGCCTCGGTCCCGAACGACGTCGGCGCGTCCCTGCACGTGGTCATGGTCGCGGTCGTCGGCGGCCGTGCCGTCTTCCTCGGGCCAGATGAGGCAGCGCCGACCGGCATGCATGCGACGCCGCGGTACTGCGTCGAAGGCACTCCCGAGGGTGCGTGAGTTTGGATGCCCGAGCCCTCGGGAGGGCGGGCAAACGTCCCGGCGACGACCGACGCCGAGAACGTCCAAGCGAACACGGCATCGCAGGAACGGCCGAAGAAGAAGCAGCGCCGAGCCGCCGAGTGCTCGGTCTGCAGAGAAGCGGGCTTGACGACGCTGACCACCACGATGATAGGGACCACGAGACACAACCGCCCGTGCCCTCTGGCCGTCTGCGCAGACGCGCCACCCGCGGTGGTGCCACCGCGCCGCACCAACCCGCTCGAAAACGCCGGCGCCTGCACGCGGGCCTCCAACGCCTTGGACTACCGCGGGCTGCGGATGTTGGTCCTCTTCTAAATTTCCGCCTGGGCAGTTCCAGGCGCCCCCGAACTTCCTACGCACCCCCCGGGTCCCGGGGGTGTCGCCGTAAGAAACGGCGGTCCAGTCGACGCCCGTGGCCGAAGTTGCACCCCCACGTCCCCGGATCGACCGACTTTTCGGCACTTTTCGAGCGCCCACGCGCGGCGCAATGAGCCGCGTCGCCAGATTTTGCTACCACGCGATGCCCTATGCCCTCCGCCCGGGCCAAGCCATCAAACTCCGCCAAAGACGGCCGACCGGCCGCGGACGAGCCCCATACGTCTCCTGAAGGCGGTTGAGATTCCAAGCCTTCGGGTCCTCAATCATGCATTCCAACGAGGACCCTTCTTTGTCAGACTTTGGCGCTCTCGCTCGCAGCGCCATCCCCCGGGGGGCCGAACATGCACCTCTCAGAGGTCCGACCTCAGGTCGAGCCCTGACGACGAGCTCGGGCGCTCAGCGGCTCGTGAGCGCCCACCGCGGCGCACGGCGGGCCCCGGGCACCCCACTGCGCACCTTGCTAATTCATCAACTCCTTTATGCTTCTTGCGCGACGGTCCCGGCGGGAGGCATCTTGCCCGCGCACGACGGTGCCCGTGGTGCCATTGAGAAGAGCCTCTTCCTCGCGTTTCGTCCGTCCTTGGCCGTCTTCCTCAAGGCGTCCGTCCTTGGCCGCGGCCCCTTTGCGTGCGACGCCCCATCGGGCGTCGCGCGCCGTCTCGCCGCGCGCAAAGGGCCGTCCGACGGCGCGAGGCGGGTCTCGTCACTTGCCCAAGGGCCGTCGTGGTGCGCCTCAAAGGACTCCGCACGGCGCCTGTCGACGGCGCCTGCCACGAGCGGCGGCTAGGCAGCGCGCCGGACGACGCTGGTTCGTCGACGCGCGCGGTCCGATGTACCATGGGACGACGTACCGAGTCTCGACGTCTTCGGTGCATCGATGCGACGCACAGCCATGCTCCCGTGGCTGCGGCCCTGCGACCCCGCGCCGCTCTGTAGCTGCTCGCAGTACAGCTGCCCTCGCGATCCGTCCCGCGACGGCCGCTCGGTGACCCTCCCACGTCCCGGTCGGCATCCCGGAGCGCCCGCGTCGCGGTGGCCGGCCTGTCGCGCGCGTCATCATTTACTCCGAGTCCGCCACGTGGCCAGCAGCGCGAGCAAGGCGTCGGCCTCGCCGACGAACGATTGTATGGCCTTTTCGGCGGTGGTCACCGGCATGCGGGGCGTCTCCATCGTGAAGGCTCTTGCAAAGTCGGGCAACCTGCCGAAGCACGTCGGGCAGTACCGGTTGACACTCGCTGCCGTGGGTCGAATATCCGTCGACGCGCGGCCGCGCATCGACTTCTTCTTCACAAAGTTCAGCAGGCTCTGGTGCTGCGCGTGGTACATCAGCGCGCGTAGGAGATTCCTACTAGGAATTCCTACTAGCTTAGGCGTCCGGCGCAACGCGGACCCGGCGCTCGGCCTCGACCTGCACCGCCTGGACCCGCTCGTGCCCATGCCGCCCGACAGCGTCGACTGCGACGCGCCGCAGTCCGACCACCCCGACTACATCGGGCCACCACGGCATCCACACCCGCCCCGCGCCGACCCAAAACACACCAAACATCGGCCACGCCGTCCGCCGGCCCACACTATGCTGGTATGCCTCGGCGTGCGAATTTAAGGCTCGCCCCGGCGCCCTCGAAATGAGAGAGAGATATGGAAGGTACGCCTCGACCCATATCTCTCTCTACCATAACTCAACTCCCCTTCCGAGTGTCCTTCTCTCATGGTAGCTCGAGATTGTTAAGGCGCACGATACGTGAAGAGGGAAGAACCAACGCGATGGCGGGGTCCCAGGACGGGCCCGAAGATCCGCACA